TTTGTTGGTTTGAATGTTGTTCTGATTTACAATTGGGAGGAAGAGTCGGTTGGTAGCAAATTCGACTTCCTAAGAAAACACTTAACGGTGGTACGCTAAGAGAAATTGAGATCGTTTTCGATTCTCATTGAGATAACATAATCAGAGTCGGGCTTTTCTGACGCTTAAGGTTGCGTCGGTGCTAACAACGATAGTCATGGTTAGTCCAAGTAAGGACTGAATTCTTGAGGTTGACTTGGGAATATCGGTTTACCGGAGACAAAAGCAAGTTACAAGGGTTGACCTTATAGACTATAATCTGCATGAATCCCGAAGTAAAATCCCTATCGATGATCGAAATGAATTGAGGCAAAATGAAACTTGAGGGTATTTTTCATCGTTATTGTTTTCAACTATTTACTTTCGATATTCATCATTTTTTTACTTAATTCATTTTACTTGTCTTTATATCACTAACCCACACCTTTTCTTTTTCTTTTTATAGTTTTCTTGGATCAGGATCAACACGACTCGATATCGGAAATTCCAAGTCCCTACGGATCGACCCTTTCTTCTCGTATTACGTTTTAATTTATTTCATTTAAGAAAAAAATAAATATTTATTTGAAAATTATGACGCTTGTCAACTACTGACAATGTATCCACTCTACAGAACCGTTCGATTAAAACTTCAAAAAATATAACAATTCCTTTAATCATTAATACTACTAATAATAGATTTAAGGATATTATACATAATCCAATTGCCTTTTTATGTTTTTTTCCTACCTATTCAGATAATAAACAATTCCATCATCCCATTCAAACCATAAGTTTAATAGTCTAATAATTCAATTAGATGAACAATTCCATACGTAATTATTTTTCAATTTCCTCTGTTGGATCAATTAATTTGATCTAATTTCAATTGCATTGCTATAAGTCTATGGCATCGATTTAAAAAATATTTTATCATTATTAATTAGTTGAATGTTTAATATTTTAACAGTGAATACTATCGATAAATAAATAATAATATAACATAATTAATATATAAATGAAAATCAAATTATAACATAATATTAAAAATAAATTTAATTTTATAATATTATATTAATATTCGATTTATTATTGATGTAAGATCAATACATTAATACTTTATATTTGTAAACATTAGCAAGCGTGCCACGACAAGTATGAATTGCCGAGTCTGATTAGGAAACATGGCAGAGATCACATGAAAAAAGACTAATTCAAAATTAAAATAAAGTTTATTTAGACTTGGTAATATATTATTTATTGGGTAAACTACATGTCCAGTATCTAAATTATTAATTTTGGTCTGTTTTAGTATTAAAACTTTTATTTTTTTCAAAATCCTACTTAAAGTTTAGTTTTTGTTTCATTTTAATATATTGTTCAAAATTTAATGTTATGTTTTGAAAAAAATTAAAGTTTATGTACTAAAATGGACCAAAACTGATAGTTTAGGTACTAAATGCATTAAGATTTTAATGACGGGTACTAAAACAAAATGAAAACTAAACGTTATGCATGATTTTAAAAAACTTAAAAGTTTAGATACTTAAACAAACTAAAACTGATAATTTATATACTAAATACTTAATTTACTCTTATTTATTTTACGTGACTTTGTCAACGTTCAAAGCCCGTGACTTCCCACCTTATTCAAGTCTTTTCCTGCGGCTTTTTAAGCAGTCAAGTCGAACCATTAACAAATCTTATTATAAATCTATGAACCCTAACATCAAAATTTGTACATCAGTACACAAACCAATCAATTCTTTCAAAACCAAATTTATTTACTTTCTTTTCATAAATCCCAAGGTTAATGGCTTCCTCTAAAGTTATGAATAACTTCACTGTTACATTCATTTCCGCCATTGTTTTGTTTATGAGCTTTCAGCATGTTTTGGCCACCAGACCTCTAGATGAAGAAGATAAAGTCCCATCATTCGACGTGAACCCTATTCTTCAGTCACTTCCAAGAGGTCCGGTGCCTCCGATGGCCGGGAATCCATGCACAAACATACCTGGACGCAGCCGCGGACGGTGCACGTTGACTGAAACGAACGCTGTAGGTGGCGGCGTTGCTGCTTTTCATGCTGCACCGCCGGCGTTTCCCGAGCTCGTAATGAAATTTGCTTCAGCATCGGCCGGTCGTAATACAAATAATCAAAAATAAGATTTTTTTTTCCTTCAGTAACTTTGAATTTTCTCGTGTGATGTATTATATAACATACAACTTCACCCACAACAATTCATTGAAGAAAATGTATTTGTTGTAAAAATCGTCAAAAGTAATGCTAAACAATTCATTAACTGATATTATTCAATTTTTTTATTGTTTTAAAATAAATTTTATATGAATTATGTTACGCATCCCAGTTTAAAATTAGATTAAATTAAAGATTATATATATTAATATGATTCGAATCGTATATAAATATTTTCGCATGTGAATAATAGAAGGAATTCTGTAATAAAAACTTTTAGGAGTCAGGACATCAACCTTTAATATTCATCCTATCATGATTTATTAAAAATATTAAACACATTAAAACATATTTAAAATACAATAATAATTTGTAATATGTGCATTACATAGGAAAACTATTAGTATAAAGTAAAACATTTGTGTTATGTAGAATTGCCCGTCCAGCTCAGTTGGTAGAGCGTAGTCTCTTAACCTTGTGGTCGTGAGATCGAGACCCACGGTAAGCAATTCATAATTCCGACTGTCGGAGGTATTCCACGGAAGCTGCTCTTAACCCGTTGGGAGTAGCCTACTACCTTACCTCCCCTCACCCCATTACATATGGGAATAGGGTTAATTAATTTATTTATGTTATGTATTTGAATAGTGTTGAAGAAAACTAGTTTCGTTGACCCAACAAGTCACCACTCACCTCTGTTTTCTTTTTCGATTCCAAGGCTTTGTCTTGACTAATCCGTATCGATCCGAGTCGTAGAACTGATTTTGGTGGATAAGTCTCTCAATAGAAATTTTTTGTCTATACAATGACTCAAATTTGAGATATGCTTAAACGGTATTAAATTGATTATCACTTAAACGAATCTACATTGATCATGTTGAAAGTTTTTAAAACCCTCAATTATTTTGGTTTTAGAAGATGTCTTTTCAATGATATTATTTGTTATTAAAATATTTAAAAAGTTAGTATTATTAACCATTGTATATTTTGATATTTTTCAAATAAATAATCCAGTAATTTCGTACTAAAATCGAGTCATTTCATAGAATAATTAGAAACATTATAATTAAACTACTATACATTATCTTAATACAGAATATATTATATTTTCTTAATTAATAATATTTATTTGAGTATATAACTGTTTCTCTCTCTCTTTTATTTATTTTTTGTATATTTTATTATTGGCGACAATAAAAAATAATAATGGAGTGACATTAAGTTTGGTATTTAGGGCAGTTGGTTGGATAAGGATAGGGCAATAAATTAGCATACAGTGGTGGATTCATAAATATATTATAGTGTGTGCATACATATGTTAATAATATAAATTTTTTAAATGAAAAGAATATAAATAAAATTTTAGTGTAGATATCATTAATAAAATAAATAAATAATTGAAGAAAATTAGGATTTCAGGATAAGTATGTGTCCACCCTCACCAAGCTGCGGCTGTGGCCCTGCCACTGCTAGTAGAAGTCATGGGACCCTTTCACATCTCTCGTAGAAAGAATTCATATTCAAAATAATAGGTGAGAAATTAAACACTTCACATTTGGAACCGACATGACGTTCAATGGTGTGCAAAGATTAGTTAACTCTCATAAGGCATGTTCAAAATGCAGCAACACCTGATGCAGATGCAGCCGTGGTTGCAGCTTGTTATCCCAACAATGTCACTACTGAACATATTCATCTGGCCCTCCCTTCCCCTCCCCTCTCTCTATCTCTCTCTTTTCTTGAGCTGGTGATCTTAGTATAATGCTAGTTACATTCATCTTCTCTCCAATTCATTGTTGCATCTTAGCTTCTTTGATGAAGTTGTACTTTAATGCCTGCAGTATCTGGACGAGAACAAGTGGTTGATCTTAAAGATTGTTGAGAGCCAGAGTTGCGGGAAATTGAGCGAATGTGCTGAGTAAGTGCCGATTAACAGTCCTCGACTTGCAATATATTATGCTCAATGGCTTGTTATAATCTAACCATAAAGTACTTGTAAAGATATTTGTGGTTGATGTCAGAGAAAGGTTAATAACTAGCCCTGATTCTTGCAGGAACAAGCAAGGCTGCAACAAAATCTCGTGTACTTAGCTGCAATTGCAGATTCGCGAACGAAACAGCCCTCCGTGCACGCTCAAGGTACAAGCTCAACCGATGACGCTGCATTCACTTATGGCCTCACCGGCTTCGATGTTGTTCGGTGACCTACCATTTTCAGCCCTGAACACCAACAACAACAACAAGCCTTGCTCAGTCAGGTTAGCATGAGCTCTGGCCTTAACATACTGCATAGTGAAGCTAGCACTGCAGGCGGCAGTGGAGGAGCACTCGTGGGCGCAGGGTTTCCGGATTTTTGCGTGTCTTTCCAGCATGGAAATGGCTGCCAGAAGCAAGCTAGATATCGGGGTAGCGGTCGTGTCACCCGAAGGCCGTGGAGGGAGCTCCGGAGGTCAGCTTGATGAAAAGGGTGAAACCCGTTACTTAAAAAACAGCTGATGATGGGAATTGAGAGTTCGTTATGGAGATCAAAGTATTATTGAAAGAGATCATAAGATTTGCAGGTTTTGATCGTTACATTTATAATATATAGCAATTTGGCTTGTTTTCATCTCTTTTTGGCAAATGACGGTTGGAAAAGAGAAAAGAGTTACGAATACTGAAAATCGAACTTCAGATATCATAATATATATATATATATATATATTCAGTACAAACTGTGTATCTTCCTGCAGAAATTCTAGTTATTTACGGAACAAGTTATGCTTAAAAATATTGAAATCACAATCATACAAAAATGGAAGGAGATTGAAATCCAACCAAATTCTCTGCAACACCTCTCCAAACAAAGCTTTCATCGAACAGTTCCAGTGAAGACATATCATACGGAAATGTATTCGTATCATCGATCTTTGCAAGCGAATCGGCTTGAAAATTGGGAATATCACGAACTTGATTTGCTTCCTCGGTAATTGAGCGATGCTCTCTGATATCAGAGTTCTGGCCAGTGAGTTGTTGAACGACTGCCCGAAACTCTGCTTCATTGCATGCTTTAACCATCACTGGACTCGAAATATATCTTATTTTGATGGGATTTTTCTTGGGTTTGGTGGGTTTTTGGGTTTTATCACAACCTGGATCTCTAAGTTTCCCCATGCTTTTGCATGAGATAGCTGGGTTTTGGTTTGGTTACCTCGAAATGCTTTGTTTTTATAGGCAATGGCGGGCGGAAGAGATGAAGACTAAACTAGGAAGTGGCAAAATTGACCATGACAGAAAATAGAAAATGACTGTTTGGGGAGTGGGAAAATTTTCTTGTTTTTCCAAATTGTCTGCTCAATGTCAGAGTTAGTAGAAAATGGACAAATTAAGTTGGTTTGTTTGACTTAAAAGTAAAAGATAGTAGGATTAATTTGCGTCTTGTATGTTTCAAAGTAGATATTTAGTTGTCTAGTTATTGTTGTTGTCATATTTGACCCAGAAAAGTGCATTTCTAGGCATAAAAGGACTGTTTTTCATGTTTTTCATGAATGAACAAACAGCATCATAGGTCCCTAAATTTTAATGTTATCTTCAAAAAAAAACTCCTCTTTTTAACTTGGTTCAGGCCCGATTATCGAGTTTGTTTAGTCAATTACGATTATGAGGGTTCATAGGATATTTATCAAACATCCTTATCATCATCTCACGACAACTACATCACCATAATCATCTTCACGCAGCTAATACATACCAGGAGAATTTTTAATTCGAATTCTTTTATATTTTTATTTATCTTTTCGTAATTCTGTAGATTATTTTAGGTGATTATAAGATTATTTGTCTAAAAGATTTTTAATTGTTGATAATATACATATATTCTATAGATTTAATTATTTAAATTTAAAATTTTTAAAATAATATTTTCTTTTATCATTGTGATTGTCTAATGAATCTATTAATGTAATAGTTAATATCATTAATAGAGTTAAATATATTAAATTCGTTAACCCTATTCCTATATATAATGGGGTAAGGGGGAGGTAAGGTAATAGGTTGCCCCCAACGCTAAGTTGAGAGCAACTTCCGTGAAAGACCTCCGGCAGTCAAAATTATGAATTGCCCATCGTGGGACTCGATCCCACGATCACAAGATTAAGAGTCTTGCACTCTAGAGTTAAATATATTAATTGGAGCTTAATCTAAGCCCAGATCTCAAATTGGGCTGCAATACAAACCCTTAATCTGTTTGACTTGGAAATTATACTTGGGAGCAATACGAGACAACAGACATGGCAGGTGGTACAGGGACCAGATTTTTTTAGCCCAACAGAGCATTTAAAAAAAAGGAAAATAAGGCACACAAGCTTTTATTTTCAGATGTACGATATTTGTTATAGTATTTAAAAAACTCGTCATATCATGTTAACGAATACTCTTAAATAATATTTTTTATTCAAGCTCGTCACGTTGAGGTGATTAATTTCAATAAAATATAATTTTTTACAAATTTTTGTCACATTGCGGTAAAAAAAATAATTTTTTTTATTAAAACTCGTCACTTCGAGATAATGAGTTTCAAGTCATTGTACCAAAAGCAGTAAATACCTAAATAAATTGCTTTGTGCCGTATTGAGATAAATAATTAGCCTGCATACGGTGTTAGACTAAAAAATCCCAGTAACCAGTGCTGCTTGGGCTTGAAATTGAACTGATGGCAAAGTCAGCCCAATACCGTAGGCGGGCTAATTGTCTAATATGGTACTAGATATTTTATTTTGGGAAATATGACATCCGTTACAGTGGCTTGAAACTCGTCACGCCGGGTAAAATATATTTTTTATTAGAATTTGTCACTCTGATGTGATAAAATCCTAATAAAAATTATATTTTTTGAAACTTATCACCTCGACATGATGAGTTTGAATAAAAAATATATAATTTTTTTACTCACCTGCCCTATTGGACCAATTTTTTCTAATAACAAAATCGGTAAAATAATTACTTAAAATATTATTATTTTAACTTAAAACATTAATTTTTTAATATTTCCGATAAAAGTGTCAAACAATAATAAAATCGGTAGAAAAAATAACAAAATCGGTAGCGCTTTACCAAATCTAGTAAAACGCCTAATAATAACAAAACCGGTTGTTAACTTTTTTAATTTAAAAATGGAGATGTCTCGGGTACGACACATCAATATACAGTGAAGAAAATACCCTACTGGTAATGTTAATATTTTTTTAACATTTCTGATAAAACAATCATTAATACCAACACATGCATAGTTGGATTCCAACATCCAAGCAATCATTAATACCAAACTTTGGTTTTGAATTACTAAATTGCAAATAGGAGAAGTTAATTAATTAGGGAAATATAATTGAAAGAGTGGTTACTAAACGTATTTAACGACCGGATTATTGGGTCAACTTGACAATTCATTTTTATTTAATCTATAAAATCTTAATTTAAATATAATTATAAACACACATATTGATGTGCTGGTGGGTTTATATGTGGTCCGAGTGGTGCAGATCAGAAAAGCTACAAATATATTATACCAGAATTTAACTTAAATGACAATTTGATAATTTTATACTTAAACAAGCTAATTTTACCTATTGGAAAAGTTGAATTAATTTTTTAACCTATCCTTCATTATTTTAATTATAAATAATTATTTATCTTTTTTTTTATATTTATTCGATCATGAATTCAAGATCCATTGAGAGAAGATACATATGAGGAACAAAACATATGGAAAAATGGGTAAATTGATATTTTATCCCCGAATTATTATGGGTTTATAAAAAGACTCGTGATTAGTAATTTATCTAAAATTTAAGAGTTCAAATAAAAATTAAACCTTTTTTTAATCAAAACTTATGGCAGCTAACGTCTCAGTGACCATATCTTAATCAAAACTAAACGAAGGTGACCGTAGATTATATTTTTTGAATCCAGCTACCGTAAGTTTATAATACTAAAACAAAAGTGACTATTTTTGTAGTTTACCCCTATAAACTTTTTTGCCAATAATAATGATATAGTAAATGTGAAAGAAAAATAAGAAAATAATTATTCAGCGATGCTTATAAGCATCCGTCGACATGACAAAGTACATAAACACCATGATCATGGTGGTGGCCTTCTTGGATTTGGCACATAACCGTAGCGTCCGCGATAGCGATATGGTTGCGGCGGCGGTGGAGGTGGTGGAGGCGGGGGTGGAGGAGGTGGAGGAAGTGGCGGCGGCGGTGGGGGTGACCTCATAGGAGGGGCAGGGCTTTGATACCTGCCAAAATTAAATGTAGGTGGCGGGGGTGATCTTCGTCGAGGATAAAACACCCTGGCCGAAACCACATGAAACTTATGAGAAAAGAAACGGGAAGAAACGTCATCGAAAGAGGAGCTTCGAACAGCTTCAGACTCGTCATCAATGGCGGCAGAAAATGAAACAGCTAGGCCAAAAATGAAGAACAGAAGGAGCAAGCATGTGGCATTCATGGTGGCAGTGCACAAAGGGCTAAAACCACATCAGAATACTGAGAATGAAAATTTGAGAACAGATTTATACACATTGACGGATACAAAAATTTGTCGGGTGTAAACATAAAAGGATAAAATTTAAATTTTTAGGGTGTCACCGTACACTGTGAAGCCAGCTGGTTCCAGGTGTGCTCCAAGTCAATGGCCATGGAAACTTCAACGAAAATGACTTAACTTCTTTTATATTTTTGAGTGATATCCCTTTTATCCGTGTCCTAAAGTCAACTATAAGGAAACTGTGAAAGTATTCCAAATCAATTAATTAATTAATTAATGGAGTTGTAGGTTCAAATACACACACGACTCACACGGAATATTTTAATAAATTAATTATCAACTTTAATAATATAATTATATTTACTTTTTTATATTTTTCTCGCTGACTTTAAAATATATAATATTCGATTATTTTTATTTTTATTTAATTAAGAGGTGGGCATTTATCTTTAGGGGTGAACAAAATTCGATTTGACTTGGCAAATCGATTTTTTTACTCGGTTCGACTCGAATTAACTTCGAGTTACAATTTCATAAACTCGACTTGAAAAAATTTCAAGTTCAGATCTAGTTGTAAAATACAACTCGAATAAATCAAATTTTTTAGTAATTAGTGGATTGATTTTCAAGTTTGAGTCGTGTCTTTTAATTTTGTATGATATATGTATATCACATATGAAAAGAATATGAAGAAATATATTTGTATTGTATATATAGTTATAGAAAGTCATTTAAATTGGAATAAAAAACATTATAATATTATAAATATTTACAATTAAATTTAAGTAAAAACTCAAAAAAAATGACTCGACTTGAAAAAATTTAAATCCAACTTCGAGTTGTAAAACATGTCTCATAAACTCGAATAACTCAAATTTTTTGACTCGATTCGATCGAACGCTCATCCCTACTTATCTTATCAACTTTTAAATGCTTATTCACTTAAATTTTGATGTTAGCGAGGAAACTAAATAAAAGTGATCGCATCTTGAATTTTGACGTTAGTGAGGAAACTAAATAAAAGTGATCACATCTTAATTAAATAAAAAGAAAGTGATCAAATATTAAGTTTTTTTGAATTTAATAAGAAAAATTATACAAAACTAAAACTAAAGTGATTAATATTGTGATTTACCCTAAAGATATTCATATCAAATAAATATGTGAGTAATAAGGATCAAAAGTATATTTTTATCAAGTTTTGATTAATTTGATTGATATTATCTTAATAATTAAGTGACTTGATTTACCCATTCAACGTTTAATTTTGGGTCAAAAATCATCATCGGTGGATGGAAACCGTCAGTCAGTTGACGGTCAATTATTTATATTTTGTAAATTATAAGTGAAGAACTCAAAAATTTATTCGGTGTGATGGATTAATAATGTTCAATTATTTGATAATAATTATGGACATTTTTATATTTTTAACATTATTTTAGCATTGCAGACTAAACAGCTATAATAAAGTTTAGAATATAAAGCGAAAATAAAATAAAACAACAATAGCTTCAGCAACCTTATACGGAGCATTTGGGAAGACAGACACAAACAAAGGAATTAAACAGTGAATCGATCATCAAACGAGATATATGATGGCGTTGATGACGATGACTACGACGGTG